GCTTGCATAATTCATTTAAATGGACTAAATTTTTTTATAAATTTTTAAAATAAAATGCATAAATAAAGGTATAAAATATACATTGATCCTACAGTATGTAGTCAAATTTTAATATCATTATAGAGTCAAAGTATATTTCATGGCATCTTTGGATATCTTTTCAATTTCTTCCTTGGTTAATCAAAAGGTATTTGCAGCAATTAAGTATTCTTTACTACTAAGAGTTGTATTAAAGACGCCTTTATCATCATTCTAAAAGGAAAAAGAGATGATTATACAGTGGAACCCCTTAACTCCGGACACCATTTGGATCTACTGAAGTGTCCTTATTTCAGGGGTGTCCTTAATTCAGGGGTGGTGAATAATAGTTATTAAATCATATTAAGGGTAGATTATCATATTAATTATAATAAAGTCTATGTTTATTTGTCAGTATATCATGAGTTATGCATGGTTTTATGGATGAAAGTAGTCTAGTAATGTAGTTTGTGTGCTGCTTGTAAAGGAAAGACTTGAAGATGAAACTTTATTGAGGAGGATACCAGTGTCCATTGCTAACTCTGCACAACCCCTGTGGTCAAGGTAAGCTTGCACATCCTCTAAGGACTTGATTACTTCCCCAAATGACTTTAATTGTGGAACTAATGGCTGTTGTTCCTCCTCTACTTCTTCATCTCCGGCATCAGCATCATGAGATTCATTGATATCACCAGTAGTTGTCAGTTCATTAAAAAACTGACTTTCCCAGTGTTCAGAATCATACTCTTGGCATGTCGGTATTTGGTCATCAAAGCAAATGTACTCACTGCTGCTTGACAACTCAGGATCAGTGCTGCCATGAACAGCTCTGACAACTTGGCCAACAAGATTATCCAAATGTGAAACATCTTCATCTTCATCTAAATCAGCAAATGGATCCGAACCATCAGAATGAGGTACTACTGTAACACTGAAGGAGTCACCAGATAGAATTCCAGCCTTGCGAAAGCACTTTTTGATTGTTTCAGCCGTAACTTCCCTCCATGCCATTGAAACCCATCGAATTGCAGTAAGCACATTCACAGACTTGACTACATCATGTGCAGTATCGCACTCATCAATCTTAGCTAGAACATGAGACAATAGCAGCCTGCGGTACTTGATTTTAAATGCCTGAATGATGCCCAAATCAAGTGGCTGTAAAACGCTTGTGGTATTAGGGGGTAAGAACACGATCTTAATATTGCTATACCTCTCAGCAAGACTTTCTGGATGGCATCCAGCATTATCCATGAGTAGCAGTACCGACCTCCCTTTGGCAATAAGCTGGCGATTCTTTTTCTTGAGTATCTCATCCATGATTTCCCCCGTCATCCAGGCTTTAGGTTGGCTGTAGTACATGACTGGTAGGTCAGTTTTCTTGATCTTGCTAAAGCAGTGGGGGTTTTCTGATTTCCATACAACAATTGGAATCTCTTTTTCTCCATTTGCATTTACGAAAAAAGCTATTGTAAAACGCTGTTTGCTCTTTTTCCCTCCTCGGCATTGATAAACACTTTGCCCAAGACCTTCATTAGGTAAGGCTTTCCAGAAGCATCCAGTTTCATCCATATTCCAAATATTCTCTGGTTCGTATTTACAAATCAGCTCAGGCAGCCTCTCCTTCCAAGAATCAACCGTCTCACCTCATACAGCACCTGACTCACCACATATTTTCATTTGTTTTATGTTGTACCTCTTCTTCCAACGGTCAAACCACCCAATAGATGCTGTAAATTCTGGTATTTCCAATGAAAGGGCAATCTCTTTTGCCTTGGCCATCAGCTGGCTTCCATCAGGGTACACTTGTTTAGAACAGGCAACTTGATACCACTTATATAGGGCATCATTAATCTCAATGTATGGAGAGGTTCGCTTGTTGAGGTGTTTGACATCTGAAGAAGCA